TGTTTTTATAATTCAAATTAATCTTTTGTCCATTCAACCTAGAAATTTTCTGCTTGTATAAATTAAGTAGGAATGCAATAGCCTTCCTATCCATTTCATTTCTAGGAACACCATGATTAATTAGCTAAGGCCAGAGCTCTAGACGAGTCAGACTATTCTGATTGCCGCTTTGCCTCTGCTATCCATTATGGTAACTATGCCCACCCTGCCTTTGATGGTTGAGTGTCACCACTTGGCCCCCGCCACCCCAGGATCCAATTATTCCCACTATATTTAAATTTTGTAGTTGAGTGACTGCAGTCCCCATCATTAGATCTGACATACAGAGAATAGCAATTACAGCAATTACAGGGCTCTTCAAAGACGCAGGTTCTGATCTTGCAAATCTATTCCACAACTCAGTGTCCCTAGTATCATCAGGATCCTCCCACACAACCCCATTCCAAGTTTCAGGGTCCTATTCTTTTCCAGTAAATGCCCTCACTTTAACAGTAGACACCTGGTGCATGCATCTTTTGTTACAAGTCAGCCACTCACATGATAAGAGCTTGTGTCTGTTTTTCCACAATTTCAGCTCTTGCTCTTCAGGAGGTAAGATTCTCACTCAGGGCAATCTTAGCAGATTTGAGGCTCAGTATCTGTTTCTAAAGCTGGGAGACAGAATCTCTGAGTTCATAATTTTCTTTCATCACTTTGTCCACTGACCAGAGGAACAACCAACCAGCTTCATTATGTTTCTTGGTTCTCCACATATGGTGAAAGGTATTATGCATAGAGTCACTAAACTCCTTGACTCTCATGAGTAATGAATCAGGAGTGTCAAATGCATTTATTTTGCATAACTCTCTAAACAGTTCACACCAAGGACTATCAGTGTTCTCCATACTATTAGAAGGAGAGTCCTTAGCATTTTGGGGTCTAAATATTAAGCAGCCAACTCCAGAAACCCCAAACCAATGAAAGAACTCCATCCTTAATATTCTGTTCCTCTAGAACCACTCGCAATACCAAAATCTGTATTAGGGTTCTCTAGAGGGACAGAATAGGACACACACACACACACACACACACACACACACACACACACATATATATGGAGAGCTTAAGTATTAACTTACACAATCACAAGGTCCTACAATAGGATGTCCGCAAGCTGAGGAGGAAGGAGAGCCAGTCCAAGTCCCAAAACTGAAGAACCTGAAGTCCAATGTTCAAGGGCAGGAAGCATCCAGCATGGGACAAAGATGTAGGCTGGGAGGCTGGGCCAGTCTCTTGTTCATTTTTCTGCCTGCTTTATATTCGCTGGCAGCTGATTAGATTGTGCCCACCAGATTAAGGGTGGATCTGCTTTCCCCAGCCCACTGATTCAAATGTTAATCTCTTTTGGCAACACCCTCACAGACACTCCCAGGAACAATACTTTGTAACCTTCAATCTAATCAAGCTGACAGTATTAACCATCACACCTGCCTAAGTAAAGATTAAATGAGATGATCACCACACCGCATATTTGTTGTTGTTGTTGTTGTTGTTTTTTAAAAAAGTGGAGGGCCAGGTGCGGTGACTCACACCTGTAATCCCAACACTTTGGGAGGCCGAGGCAGGTGGACCACTCAAAGTGAGTAGTTTGAGACCAACCTGGCCAACATGGTGAAACCTTGTCTCTACTAAAAATGCAAAAATTAATGGGTGTGGTGGCGTGCACCTGTAGTCCCAGGTACTCGGGAGGCTGAGGCAAGAGAATCGCTTGGACCAGGAAGGCAGAGGTTGCAGTGAGCCGAGATCGCGCTACTGCACTCCAGCCTGGGTGACACAGCAAGACTATGTGTCAAGAACAAAAAACAAAAAACAAACAAAAACAGTGAATGAAGGGAAAAGTAGATTAAGTTTTCAATGTAACATTGTTCATAGCAGGAAGAAAACCTGAAAGCAACCTAAATGCCCATCAACAATGGGAATAATAATACATTGCAGGATAAATACCCAGTAAAATACTTTAGTGTTTTAAAAAAGGAAAAATAAACTATAGTTACAATTGTACAGGTAGCTTTGTTTGTTTTAAAGCCAAGGAAGGATTAACATAAAACTCAAGATAGTGGTTACACCTGCTGTGAGAAGAGACAGGTATGTGATCAGGAAAGGGCATTCTGGTGGTTCCCTAACATCCTGATAAGGGTGTTAGGGGCAAATGGGAATTCATTTTATAATCATTCTTTAAATGATACATGTATATATACACACTGCTGCATTTATGATCCAGTTTTAAAACAAAAAAAGTCATTTAAAACTCTCATTGAATCTTAATCATGAGACTTATGTATCTATACTTGGAGATGGAGAATACGTAGACCTTGGTTCCCCGTCCTAGTCTCCTGTGTTGAATCACAACACATTCCAGTGATTTTTTTTGGCAATTACTAGATGAACTCTTACAACTTTGATTAAAATAATTGATACAGAAAATTTCTGATTTTGCTAGCAGATCTCTAAAAGCAAATTTTTGGTATAAAATGATCTACAGAGAATTTGGCAGATGGCAACTATTGTATATCAGGTCTGTGTCTACAACTGTAAATAAGATTTTGCCATTCTTATAGTCAGGCTGTTATAGTCATCCTGATTTTTAATTTTTTTTTTTTTTTTTGAGATGGAGTCTCACTCAGCCTGTCACCCAGGCTGGAGTGCAGTGGCGTGATATCGGCTCACTGCAACCTCCGCCTCCCAAGTTCAAGCAATTCTTCTGCCTCAGCCTCCTGAGTAGCTGGGATTACAGGCACAAACCACTACGCCCGGCTAATTTTTGTACTTTTAGTAGAGACGGGCTTTCACCATGTTGGTCAGGCTGGTCTCGAACTCCTGACCTCGTGATCCACCCACATTGGCCTCCCAAAGTGCTGGGATTACAGGCGTGAACCACTACACCCGGCCTGATTTTTAAATTTCAGTGCTGTATTCACTTATCAATGAGCAATGCCTCATTGGTAATGGTCACTGTTCATCTCTTGTTTCCAATCCTGTCAACACTATAAAAGGACAACTTACAACATCCTGTAACGAATGGGCATGAACCGTATCCAGAAACCTGAGACATGTTTTCATGTCATGTACAGTTTTTTGTTAATTAAGGCTGAAGATTAACTCAAATAAAGCTTGTAACTCAGAAGTTTAATCTATTAGTTGTTTAATCTGTTTTCTGAACTGCATGCTTATTTTATGTATGCAGAGTAGACTGGCTGAGTGTGAGGACACTTAATACAGTAGTAGGATGCCAACCAAGGCAGAAGCCATGGACTCACCATTTGACAGTCAACATAGTAACTGGTTCAGTCAAGAATTGTCAATAGACTCAAACTAGTCTGTGACAATTCGATGAGAAACAGGACATTTACAATCTTTAAGAATCTCCTCACAAAGTACTTCCTAATTCTAATTTTACAATGGAGAAACCTGGTATATACTATCTGAACCAGGTGACTAAAATTAATAGCATCAGGTATAAGACAAATTGACATTGTGTGCATCTTGGCATGACACATTTGAGTATACAGCATCATTTCTGTAGTACTGGACAAAAATGTCCATCCTAAATCTTATGAGTCTTAACTAATGATAAACCAAAACTGAGGAACTTTCTACAAACTGGTCAATACTCCTCAAGTGTCAAGGTCAAAGACAAGTCTGAAAAGCTGTTCCAGACTGAATGAAACAAGAGATAGGACAACTAAAAGCACTATGTGGTCCTGGATTGGGATGCTGGAACACAGGAACATTACGGAGGCAATCAGAATTAGCAGATTGAATGTGGCCTATGGATTAGATATCATTATGATGTCAATGTCAATATCCTAAGTTTGATGGTGGTACTATGGTTATGTAGGAATGCCCTTATCTTAAGGAAATACACAGTAGATAGAGGTAATAATGCAAAAAAATATTTTGGCTGGGATTACATTGAATCTACAAATGTAAATTAACATCTCTACATGATTGAAGCTTCTAATTTGTGTACATTATGGAGTGCTACATTTATTTAAGATCTCCTTAAATGCTTCCTGACATGGTCTAACATTTTCTCCATGAAGATCTTGTACATCTTTTGTGAGACTTATTCTTAGGTATTTTGTATTTTTTAATGATATTGAAGAGATCTTTCTAAAAACTTTCATTTCTGTTAGTTGTTGATATCCAGGAATACAACTGACTTACATACTGATTGTGAATGTAGCAACTTTGCTAACTCCTAGATGTTAACTGAATAGTCTACATATATAATCATATCAACACATCACCATAATTTCCTACCTGTAGGAAAGAAAAACCCACAGAATTCCATAGACTGTAAGTTATTTAACAATATACAATGGTTGGCATTTAAAGAGGTGTTTCCAGTTGTATAAATACTGTAAGTAACATAACGATAGCTAGGAATAGTGTAGCCATAGTACCAACTTTAAATCACCCAAATAACAGACGTACAATTCTATCTGCTTATGAGTTCACTAGGCAACAAGTCTCAGGGATCATATAGTCTCTGTCTCTGTATCAAAACAAATACACTGCCTAAGGTACACTAAAAGTAATTTAACATACTGTACTCATAAATTCGAATTAAGTTCTCTGTAGGTACAACTTGGCTAGGGAAGTTATGATCAACCCTTCAGAAATGACTTCTCAGAACCTTGGACAATACACCTCCCACAAGGCTTCCTGGTGTTCTGGTAGCACTAACAGGGCTCCCGCTGTTGCCCCTTCCCTTTGCTCACATATCTTTCCATGTGGCATAAAACAACTTCTGGATAAATGATTTCCACCACATTATTAGCTAGGACAACACATTGCACACTGTGGACACTCTAGAAATAGCAACCTCTTCTCAAGAGTTACTTGCCTCAGAGCCCCAGGAAACTAGAAAGCATCTAGAGGCTTAAGACTCTAAGTTGGACAAAGTGCCAGGGAACCCTAAAGGCAGAAAGGACCCAAAAGTGAAATTCTCATTTTTGAGCTGTGAGGGAAAACAGAGAAGTGAGTTTATTACAGGATATAACCTTTGGGTTGTCTCCATATATTAAAAGAAAACTGAAGAAGTTTAAAAGTACATTTTCTAAGTTTTAGTATAGGATGATGATAATGTTCTGGAGATGAATAGGTACTCATGGTTGCAAAACAATGAGAATATACTTAATGCCACTGAACTATATGCTGAAAAATGGTTCAAACAATATACTTAAAAATGGTAAATGTTACGTGTATTTTACCACAATAAAAAATTTTTAAAGTTGTATTTTCTATTGTTAAAAACTACCAGATATCATTTAGTAATCATAGTCATTAAGAGCACTAACCATCAAAATCTGACCGCCCTATGTTTGAGATTTGACTCCACCTGTGGAACACAGAAGCAAGTCATTTAACTAAGCCTTAGTTTCCTTACCTGTAACACAGAAAAAATAACATGATTACCCACCCATTACAGGTTGCTCTGGACTTGAAATAAAATAATCCATGTAGCAACTTGGCAAAGTTCCTGGCACACAGAGAAGGCTCAATACACATTGGCTCTAATTTTCTTTTTAGGTATTCACAGCAATATGATTCTTTTATATTTTGTACAATGAAGACTAAAAACAAGGCTTCAGGAAAAAAAAGGGCTGGTTATTGCTCCCTAGACCTTCACATCACATAGAACTATAAAACAAGTTTCCATAAAACTCATTCCGCATTGTAGTCAAGGGATGTATGATCCCAGGTGTTGACTTCTAAGCCAATGGTTAATAACCTTAAACTCTCATACTGTAATAGGGAACAATTGAAAAGAAGCCACGAGAACTTGAGATAATTTAACAAGTTGATATATATATATATTATCAAGTATAACAGTCATACAAAAACATTTAGTAGAAATATAATTCACACATACAAAAACAGTCTACTTATTTTTTGTCCCTTTTATATCCTATTTTAGACAAAATGATAAAACCCAGAAAATAACAGGAATGTACTAGTCCTAAAAACTGGACATATAATAAATGAAACAGATCCAATCACCTATACTTTCTCTCAAATTCCAAATAATGAGGCTTACTGACCTGTACTCTCAGAATCAACTTAAATAAATTTTAGCTTGATTTGGATGGAATATACACTTTCAATGGTTGATAATCCAGGTAGAACAAGTACATAAAATGATTCATAAGTCAAAACATTTCATACAAAAGGAATGGTTTTAACCCAGACAAATCAAGAGGAAATGCACTGAATTTAAAAACTTCTGAAACACGCATTTTTTGGACCATTTATAAAATACCAAAAAGTTCAGAACTGCTGAATAACAAAAGTTTATATAAAATAAAGCCAAGGGGTGAAAAAACTATCAAATGTATTAAAACCATCTAATGCCAAATACAACATAACTGAACTATATAATTTAGAAACAGGTTTAAGTGCATTTTCTTTATACAATGTAATTGACTATCACATGTAAAAACTGGCAATTAATTAAAATGCAATTAAATACAGATTTGCAAGCCTTCTGGCCATTATGTAAACATTTAAAAATTAAGTGAATTGCCAATTGAAAAATAAGAGCTTACATATGTATCTTAAAAAAGCACAAATGTAAAAGATGCAGTATAAAGTTATGTGAAAAAACATATTCATACCAACAAAATCTTTTTAGGCACTTGCATTCAGAAACATTCCTTTTATAAATAAGCACTTATAATAGTTTCACTCCAAAAAATAAACCTGATTTTCCCAAATTGCACCTATTAGTTGAGAACTATTATCATATATTAGGGATGCATTCAAATGGACCATTTGGTGGGGAAAGTCAACTGAACTTTAAAAAATATGAATCCACCTATCTTATCCACAACTTCAAAAATACAGAATTTAAAGATAATTCCAGTGAGGCACAAATGTGACCCTATCAAAACATTCTACCATTCAGTATTACCAACAGAGGATAATACGACACAACAACAAAAGGCAAAACCCATGATTTGGCAGTCCTATACAAAAGGGGCCCTGTCAAAACACTCTTTCACAAAATAAGCACAATACCACAAAATAACACAACAACAATAACAACAACAATAAACCCCTGAAATTTGACAACCCTACACAAATTGTGGAATTTCATCTTCGAGGTCTTCAAACTGTTGCATTCGTTTTAGCCTTGGTCTCTGACATGTTGGATTCACATCAGGCAAGCCAAGCTCCTCAGAGTCTTCTTTAGGTTGACCAGTTGCCTGCCCAGGACAAGCTGATGCTTTGTCTGGGTCCGGCCTTGACTTCACCATGAGACCCTGGGGATCGTGAGCTGTGCCAGGAGGCACTGCCGCTGAGGGTGAGGATGGCTTCTCCTCATTCCCCCTGATACTGATGGCGGGAGCATGTGGTTTATAAAATGTTGTCCAATGTTGAGGCTGCAGTGTTCTGGGTGCTCTGACAGGAGCGAGAGGGTAGGAATCCGAAGACCGTCTCTCAGACGCCTCTCTCACTGACCTGACTGGCTCTGTGTATGGCTTACTGGGCTGAGTGGCATTGACAGAATGGTCCCCACTAATCTGGAGGCTTGTTGTCACTCCTTTTTCCTGGAGTGCACTGGGCATGATCATTGTAGTCTTGGCAGTTAGGCTGTTTTGTTCATACTGTTTGTCCTGAATTTTTTGTAGAGTTTGCTGGTCAAAGCCATTAAATTTGGAACAAACAGTAGTAGCAGTATCTTTTCTATTAACTCCTTCAAAGGCAGGATTCTTGCAAAACTTGTCTAAATTTACATTTCCCTTATTTCTACCATTTCTCTCCTTAGGAGGGCTTGCAAGAAGTAGTCTATCTATAGGCAAACTTACAGGTCTAATCTTGGTCCTTGGAGTATGCCTCTCCACACAGTTTGTTGATGACCTATCAGATTTCAGAGAAAGTGGCTTAGGGGTTTTACCATCTTCTATCTTTTGGGATGCTGATTCAACCTCCTGGTCTAGAAGCAACTGTGCTTTGTCTGAAAATGAAAGCAATCTATTTAACTTCATGGCACATGGTTAATAAGAGAGTCTGAATGAGTTAGAGATGAACACTGTATCAAGACAATACAAGTCTTACATATTTTTTCTAAAGTAATATTCTCAGTTATCTATGCAGAGGAGTTAAACATTTGCACAGTATTAAAGGTGTATATTGAATTTAAAAGTTCAAATTTTTTACTCATTTAAATCAATATGAACAGCTACAAAATACCAAAAAACACTTGCTGAGTAACTTCCTTTTAAGTGCTGTGCATGAACAAGTACTTTCTGGGTCAAAAGACTATCACAATGTCAATAGGTAGACATGGGAAAATTAACCTCAGAAAAGTGGCACTAATTTACACACCAACCAGATGTAACTGTGCCCTGAATCCCAAGGATTTTGCCAACTCACTCAATCTGCTTTTCAGTTACACTCAACCCAGGGAGAACATATCATATTAGATTACTTAGATGCTCTCCTTATCTGATTAACTAATAAAGCATAACATCCATTCTGTCAAATGAAGGCTGAATGCTTTTAAGTTAAAAAATGCCATTTTCCCCATCTGCTCCCAGATTTTCTTTCTTCTACAGTCTGAACCCACAGTCCATGTTTTCTCACTTAAAAGCCTCAGTTCCTGCATCTATCCTAAAAAATTCCAATTCCAGGAATGTTCCAGCCCTCCATTCTCCTGCTTTTCTGTTCACTGCCGAAACACATCCACCAACTCCGTGCCTCAACGCCATCCTGACTTTGAGCTGCAGCCGGCCCCAAGCAGAGCATGCAATCCTGTCCCTGCCACCCAGTCCTTCACCCACATCTTTTAGGCAGTGGTTTGCAGACAGGTACCCACCAGAGTAACTTTTTGGTCGTCATCTCATCTGACCTTCTTCTACACCTGGGACTGCTGGCCTCTCTTCCCTGGGTTCCAAGGCTCTTTTTTTTGTTTTGTTTTGCTTTTGTTTTTTGAGACAGAGTCTCACTCTGTCACCCAGGCTGGAGTACAGTGGCATTATCTTGGTTCACTGCAACCTCCGCCTCCTGGGTTCAGGTGATTCTCTTGCCTCACCCTCCTGAGTAGCTGAGATTACAGGTGCCTGCCACCATGTATAGATAATTTTTGTATTTTTAATAGAGACAGGGTTTCACCATGTTGGCCAGGCTGGTCCTGAACTCCTGACTTCAAGATCCGCACACTCCGGCCTCCCAAAGTGTTGGAATTATAGGTGTGAGCCACCACACCTGGGCCAAAGCTCTTTTGATTTGCTTTCCCGGGTCCTCCACACATTTATAGAGCATTCTAAGGGACCTGATTCCTTGCAATTGGACTGTAAGCACCAATGTATATTCTTAAATTTCTGAGGGAAAAACTTAGAGCATAATGGAGAAGAGTACAGACTCTGAAGCACAGTTGCCTGGGTCCTGGCTCAGCCCTGCCTGCCACTTCTGCACTGGGCTAGGCAATCACTGTCTAGCCACTGCCAGTGGCTATGTGTCTTCATCTGTGAAAAAAGACTCCTATGTGTATCTGTGTTGCTGTGTGATCTAAATGATCTACTAGGAAAAGTGCTTAAAATTATGTTGTATGTAATAAACACTGGAAAGTGACATTTATTATCATTACTGTTCCTAAGAGCTTCATGGGATAGTGAAAAAGGTTAGGTTTAGCAATCAGAACTGGGTTCAAATGTATTAGGAGCACAATCTTTGGCATTACTTAGTCTCTTTCAGATGGTTGGTTATGTGCTGAATGAGGATAATGCTCTTTATAGCACAGAACTATTATGATGATCAAATAGAATCAAACAAATAAGCACAGTGCTTAGCACAGAACAGGCAGGTACCTGGTAAATGTTAGTTCCTTTCCTTTTTTTTTTTTTGAGACGGAGTTTCACTTGTCACATTCTCAGCTCACTGCAACCTCTGCCTCTAGGGTTCAAGTGATTCTCCTGCTTCAGCCTCCTGAGTAGCTGGGATTACAGGTGCCCGTCACCATGCCTGGCTATTTTTTGTATTTTTAGTAAGGATGGGGTTTCACCAATGTTGGCCAAGCTGGTCTCAAACTCCTGACCTCAGGTGATCCGCCCGCCTTGGTCTCCCAAAGTGTTGGGATTACAGGTGTGAGCCACCATGTCCGTCACTCCTTTCCTTTTTAGACCCTATGCTCACTGATACTTGATTACACATTAAATTTAACATATATGGCTGCAATGTAAAAACTTGGAATTTAGCTATAACAATGTAGAAATGACAATACAAATGGAAGCTTTTCCACCAGCTTAACAACTAGCAATGACAGCAACTAATATTATAAAGAGAAAATAAGTGAATAAAATGACTGTAGTCAAGGAAATAAAAAATACATACACATCTCTGTGTTTAATGGGTTAAATGTAGGCCACAGGTAAAAAGCATGTCAAAAAAAAAGGAAGACTCCAAATTTTTTTAAGAGTCTAGTTTGACTCCATATGAACAGTTAGTTCAATGCACTGAATTATGGAACCAGAAGATACTAATGAATATCACATTGCTCAACACATTTCTACCTTGATTTTAGCTGATGGCAAAATGCAGAAACGAAAACAAAATTCAGAAGGAACACAAAAAACATTATGACCTCCAAGATGTCCTTATTACAAGAAAGACTTTTATGAAGAATGACATTCATTTAAATGCAAGGTACACTAAAAGGCAACTTTCTCAATGGCTAGTCAAGATTTGTTAACTAATAAAGTTTCATTCTCTGGCTTCCCTCATCACCCCTCACCTTGACTTTAATCATGGTTCTACCGGCAGTTTTAAGTCAGCAAACTTTTTTTTTTAACATGGCTACTCACCACTGAGACATGCATCCCATTTTTCTATCGCATTTTGCTTGCGTTCTGACTCCTCAAATGATGTAGCTCGTTCAAAAATTTTGCTTTCACTCTCTGAAGTATGGATATCCTGTTGATGGAAGATAATTTTTAAAATGGAAGAAGTAAAATACAACCTCAAAATAAAGAGTTCAAAGATTTTTAACTTATTAACATAAACATTACAAAGTTCTAATATAATTCCATAAAGGTCAAACTCACTTCCTTTGAAGGAAAAAATAGTGACTTCATGGAACGTTCAGGGTCTCTTTCTTCTGGTGATAACAGAGGCTTTGGAAAACAGCCTTGATCAACCTGAGGTGAAAAAACACCTGTGCTACACATGACATCTTGCGGCTGTAGGGCCCCATCGAAGATCTTCTGTGAGTGAGTAATGAGGAACTCCACCAATCGTGCTTGGTTTGAATACTCGGCAAGGGAGGAGATGGTGATAGGAGCAGTTGTGGGCCTTGGCCTGATGAGACTTGGTCCAAATATTACCCCCAAGTTTTTGGAGTTCATCTTGTTTTCTTCTGCATGATCTACTACCCTGCAAAGTAGAACACATAAAGTTGCATAAGATTTGCCTATTAGAGTTCCTTGACTGTAGTTTACTATGGAATAGAGAGGGTGGAGGAAAAATGAGCTGCATAAGAATACTAGGGGGGAAAAGTCTAGGAAAAGGTTATATTTATTTGATTAAAATATTGACCACATGCCAAATAGAGTTTCACAGTTTCACAGTATTGAAATAAATTTCAAGTAGAAGGAAGTACTACAGTTTTACCAGCAGAAAGAAAAAATACCCCTAAAAACTGCTCCCATCTCAGTATATGGTATATCCTCCCAAGTCCTTATACTGGGAACCTAAACATCATTGTCAGTTCTCTCACTACCCATCTCCAGTCTTCAAGTCTAGATGATTCTCCCTTCTGAAGATCTCAGTTCCAACACCATCCCCACTCCTCTGGCCTCACTTGAAGCTCTTACCACCTTTTATTTCTACGATTATTCAAGGAGATCTGAATTGTAATAAAGGCCTCCTCTTCAACCTAGTTTCCATATTGCTGCCAAAATATCTAAAAGGCGAATCTGAGCCTGTCAAATCCCTAGCTCAAAATTCTTTAGTGCGTACCGAAGCAAGATGGTCAGTGCACCTACCAGGCACGCAAAACTTTATCAGGCCTCTAGCTGGCTCAGTTTCTGCTACTGCTTGCTGTATTGCAGCCTAACCAATTCACTTGTATTTCTCAGATGCACAATGTGCTCTTGTGTCTCCATGTCTGTGACTTTGTGCCTGGAATGCTCTTCTGTGTAATTTTGCCCACCAAGATACTACTTGGTTCTGTAAGTCTGATTCAAGGGCTATCTCCTCTGATTTATGCCCTGACCACACAATCTTCCTCTGCATGCTGTACATAGCTGTTAGAACAATGATGCTGTACTCTGCTTGTCTGCAGATCTGTCCCTGCAGCTGATGAGACCAACAGATGGCTGAAGCCCTGTGTTTTCATCCTTGTTTAGCCAGCCAGAGCCTGGCACACAGGAGGCATCTGAGGGAACCATGTTGGCTGCAAGTACATATATCTTCAATGTCTCCCCTTCCCTTGCACAGATTGGAGATGAAATGTTCATTTTAAAAGTAACACTGCAACAATATGAACACACTTAACACTTAAGAATGGCTAAGAAGTGCCAGGTGTGATGGCTCACACCTGTAATCCCAGCACTTTGGGAGACTGAGGTGGGCAGATCATGAGGTCAGGAGTTTGAGACCAGCCTGGCCAGTATGTTGAAACCCTGCCTCTACTAAAAATACAAAAATTAGCTGGGCATGGTGGCGTGCACCTGTATTCCCAGCTACTCGGGAGGCTGAGGCAGAAGAATCGCTTGAACCCAGGAGGCGGAGGTTGCAGTGAGCCAAGATCTTGCCACTGCACTCCAGCCTGGGCGACAGAGCAAGACCCTGTCTCCCAAAAAAAAAAAAAAGAATGGCTAAGAAAGTAAATTTTGTTATGTGGATTTGGATTTTATCACAATTAAAAACAAAACAAAACAAAATCAATTGCCCATTAATGAATGTTCTAGTTATATAAAATTCTTACCGCTTTAGATGTACTATAAGGAAATGAAGACTGTTAAAATTTGATGCTGGCAATTGTCTTAGAAGGTCTTTGATTTTTAGAAGAATTCGGTTTATTTCTATACACATATTTGGCCATTTTTTGTCTTCAAGACTATCCTTTTTTGTCTCTTGCTCTTCATTTACATGTTGGATCTCTTTTGCAAGGTCTATAAATTCCTTGTACAATCGAAATAAAATAAATGGTTCTGGGAGCTAAAGAAATAAAATTACATTGGGGTGAGTACTCTTTTTTTCTGTTAATAATCAACTATTACTAACAGTTTCAGAACGATTTAGGATGTCCCTTTACATTAAGAAGATTTAAAGTCAATCCACATTTAGTAATGTAAATGTTTGCCACAGATGTGGTCTATAAAGTAAACCTAGAATCATCATCACAAATTGTATCTGTATTAAAAATGACTTAACTGATAATCAGTAAAACTAAACCTAAAGCTGCATGATGGAATTTTACAAGTCTGATATATATCCTGTACCAATTACATTCATGACTCCCCCAAAGTTAGTATGATCTTCAACTGTTCTATTGAAATAAAACCCAGGATAATGCATAAAATAAGTCAAATTAATTAAAAAGGCAAATAAACTGAATTTTCTTGATATGAGAGAAACAGCAAGAAAACATTGTCAACATTTTATTTATCTAATTTTTTAACACACCTTGAATTGTCATAAATAGGTCAAAAGAAAAAGTACCTTCTCAAACTAACAAAGGGCATGCCATTTTGATCTGCCCGGTGTCATACCGAATTTCAATGTTTCCACTTGCTCTGTGATGAAACACAGGGTACCTCTAACTACTACCTGATGTTCTATTTTATCAGTGGTGAGGTAGGTGCCCCTTTCTCTGGTTTCCTCTGCTGGTCCTAGAGAGGGGCAGCCTTGAAATCAATTTCTACCCACAGTACTCTGGGATCTGAAGGAAGTCACTTAACACCTCTTGGAGCTGCAGATTTCCTACACAGTAAATGAGTAGCATTAAGGCTACTCTCTAACATTGTTTTAAGAATGGAACATGCTTTCTCACAAGAAAGTCTCCATCACATAATATTCCTGAGACAGAATGAGAGCTGATAGTATTGGACCCTATTCATTTCCTCTCCTTGCCTGGCTAGAAGAGATAAAGGACGATTCATTACGAGATTTATAGTCATTCAACGCTACTTGGCCTCCATTTTTCAGCTAAGAGTCCTGTAAAATGTGATTAAAGATACGCCAGTAGTTTCCTGGGCTAACATGGTAGATTCAACAATTATACCCAATTTCTTTCCCTGCAATCCCACTAAAATACAGTAAGCCCACAGGAGTGCGAGAATAGGAGAGGAGACGAAAGCATGACTTCATAAGCTGAAGAGTTGAAGAGCAAATGAACAAGTACTGACTTAGCAGCTCTGAGAAAGCTGAAATCTCAAACTGTGAACCAACATGACTGACAGAATCCTAAGGAGACTCAGGGACTGTCAGCACTAGGTCTTCTGAAACTGCTGGAGTGTGGGCTATCTGAGATGGCTAAGATCTGTAGATCCCTGTTGCCACTTGACTCTTCTGAGCAGCCTCTTCCCGAGAAGTCTCAAGATTTCTTCTCCAGGCAGTATAAAACAAAGAGTCTCTGGATGGGCAATGTCAAACACAAAGGACAGATGGGCAACTATCTGAAAATGGGGATTTAGTGGCTACACATGCCGTTCTAAACATAGAGATCCTGAGACCTTCTTAGCCTGCTTGGCTCTTACAGGACTGGCACCACACTCTAGGCAAGAAAAGACTCTTCTCTGGGGTATCAGACTCCCCCATGAACAGAAACCTATAGCGATAGAGGCATCAAGTGTTTCCCAAACAGTCCGCCTACATCACCCTACAATAAAGCTCAAAGTCTTCAAAGACTTCATGTGTTCAGGAGCTTCGAAAGAGATTCAATTTTCAACTCTTTCATTTTAAGCAGACAACCACGGAGACACAAATCAAAACGAGTAGGGGGAGAAAAAAAAAAATGTAAAGGTCTAGGACTGTGCTGTTAACATGGTGGCCACAAGGCACATACGGCTACTGAGCACTGGAAATGTGGCTGGTCTAAACTGAAATGTACTTTAAATGAACAAAACATAGCAGATTTTAAAGACTCAGTAACAAAAAAAGGTAAAATTATTTCATTAATAATTTAAAAATACTGATTAAATGTTCAAATGGTATTTTCAGTTTAAGTAAAATATTAAACTAATTTCACCTGTTTATGTGGCTACTAGAAAATTTAATATTGTAATATGTGGCTCACATAATATTTCTATTGGGCAAGGCTAGAGAATAAGCCAAGAAAAGAATCCTTTAAAAAAAAAGGATTAAACTATTAAAAAAAAAACCAAACTATAAATATCCTCAGATACTGCAGTCATTAAAAAAGGAAGAAAGTTGCAAAAAGAACAAAAACCACAGTTTTGGAAAATTGAAACATGATACCAGGAATGAAATAGTTCACAGCAAGGAAGAAAGATAAAGCTGAGGAAATCTCTTAGAAAGTGGTGTAAGAAAACAAAAAAAGAAATGAATGATAGAGAAAAGATAAGGGAACTTGAGAACCTGTCCAGGTTGTCAAGTATCCAAATAAGAGTTCCAGATGGAAAGCAAAGAGAAAATAGAGGGGAAGAAATGAGCAGCAAAATGGTAAGTTCCAAAAACTAAAGGACTAACCAGGATTGGCAGTGCTCATGGAGTGCCCTGAATAGTGGATAAAATATACCCACATCGAAACACATACTTATACAATTTTAGGATAAAGGGAAAAAAGAAGATTCTACAAGCTTTCAGAGACAAAATCATAGGCCACATACAAGGAGTTAGAAATGAGAAGGATTTTAGGTGAAGACAACAAAAAAACACCTTTGAATTTCTGAAGAAAAATAATTATCAGCCTAGAATATTACAACCTTCCACACTATCAACACCATGATATTTCCATTCAAGAGAGTAGAATATAAAGACATTCGTGGATAAATAAGGTTTTAAATATTTACTCCTATTCTACCTTGCTCAAGTATGGGCATGACCAAAACAGGAGAATAAAACAAAAACAAAAACAAAAACAACAAAAAAAGGGAAGACATGACAGGCATTTCCTCAAAAATGAGGAGAAGGTGGAAGAGATATCCCAGGATGGCAGCTAGTTACCATATTTTAAAAAATCCAGTACAAAATTACAGCTAGATAAGGAGGAGTAAGTTCTGGTGTTTTATACCACTGTAAGATGACTGTAGTTAACAATAATATATTACATACTTTCAAATAACTAAAAGGAGGGTGTTGAATGTTCCTCAAATGGAGAAATGATAAATGTTTGAGATGACGGCTGGGCTAATTACCCTGAGCTGATCACTATGCATCACATATACCAAAACATCACTGTGTACTCTATAAATGTGTACGATTATTACATGTCAATTTAAAAAAATTTTTTTAAAAGGATCCAGCTGGGAGCAACAGAACTGCAGAGATTGATATGTTGAGGACTATCATCGCTATTCTCTCTGACATTATCTCTTCATTTTCACCCAAGGACAGAGTATCAGCTAAGCTTGGCTCAGATCTTTTTTTGTACTTGTCTCATGACAATGTGCTGATTAACATTTTGCAATCCCTCCATGAGCTGCTGCTTGATGTTACTAAAGCCATTTATTTCGTCCCACTGAGTAGGTCTTTGGACCTACTCCTGCAAACTACAGGTATAACAGTGAGAAAAAAAAAAGAGAGAGCAGCCTACTCCCTGACCATATTCCCGCTAGAATGTGCAGTACCCAGCTTACAGGACAGTCCTTTCAGATGGCCCAAATGTAGTAAATTACGTGTTCCCAGGACACATTCATGATCTTGACCACTACCCTATCACAATGGCTATTTTAAAATATCAACGAAGGCAAAGCCAGCCTACGATCCAGACACTGTTTTATTTACTTCATATAACTGTGTGGATACTGGGATTGCCTTACACAGCTAGATTTATGCTTTCAAGTCAATTTTCCAAAGGTTAACAATACATTGTTTAGGAATAAATAACACGTATTAAAACTATTAAGAAAAGAGAGAGAGTTATGATTATTAAAGACCTCTTTGGTGGAGTTAGGCGGATGTAACTTGGAAGAGGAACGTGGGGGTTTTTTATAAGGTACAGCAATATTCTATTTTCTTAAGGTGGGTGATGGGAGATGAGTTTGTTTTTATTTTTCTTTAAACTGTACATATATTTAATATACTCTTTGACCCATGCACTAATAATCAGCAAGACACCCATACCGTCTATGCCAATGAAAAAACGTGTAGCAAATGTTATCAGCAAAATACAAATCAGATTTTTGCTGTTTTTAATTTAATGGTGGGTTTCAAGGGTAAAAATTTTACCTGCCGAAGGTATAATTTCAAGACGTCACAGATATCATGTGAACTAAATTCTGAAATGTCTACCAAGTGCATTCCATTTTCCAAAGCTTGACACAGTTTTTCAGTCTTTATTTTGTTTCCACACACACGATAAATTCCCTTCAATAGAAAAGAAAAAAATTTTGCAAAATTCTTTAGTGCAAATGGCTAAATCTACATATATTTGATTTTCAATCTTTTCATTCTATTTCAAATTTTATTAGTATTTTAGAAAAAACTATTCAAGGCCAAATGAGGTAACATTTTCTGTAGAAATCTGAAAAAATTTAGTTATTAAAGATTGTGGGGCTGGGCGCGGTGGCTCAAGCCTGTAATCCCAGCACTTTGGGAGGCCGAGACGGGGGGATCACGAGTTCAGGAGATCGAGACCATCCTGGTTAACACGGTGAAACCCTGTCTCTTCAAACCTACAAAATTAGTTGGGTGAGGTGGCGGGCGCCTGTACTCCCAGCTACTCGGGAGGCTGAGGCAGGAGAATGGCGTGAACCCGGGAGGCGGGGCTTGCAGTGAGCTGAGATCCGGCCACTGCACTCCAGCCTGGGCGACAGAGCCAGACTCCGTCTCAAAAAAAAAAAAAAAAATTGTGCACTGGCCAGGTGCCTGGGAGGTGGAGGCGGGAATATCACTTGAGCCTAGAGTTCAAGACCACCAGCCTGGGCAACATAAGGAGACCCCATCTCTACAGACATTTTTTTTTAAAATTAGCCAGGTGTGGTGGCACGTGCCTGTGGTCCCAGTTACTCAGGAGGCTGAAGTGGGAGGGTTGCTTGAGCCTGGGAGGTCAAGGCTGCAGTGAGCAGTGATCATGCCACTGTACTCCAGCCTGGGCAACAGAGTGAGACCCTGTCTCAGAAACAAAACAAAACAAAACAAAAACCCTGAACATTAGTTTCCTTTAAAGTCTCCTTTTCATTAGGTTACACAGGCATTTATGCTTTTTAAAATTTTAAGAGTTATAATGTACCTGTAGACACAAAGCTCTATTTTCAATCTCTGAGGCACATATTTTGAGTATAAAAGGGATACCATCTGGTTCCTTTTTTGCAACTTGTGTGAATTCTGCTCCAAATAATTGTATTTTTCCTGGAAGTTTCTGATGACCGCAAATAATGACTAAATTTTCCAAACACTTTCGATGACAAACAAGGAGACACTACAAGAAAATGATAGTTTGAAACTGGTTAACCTTAAAACTATTCACAACTGGGCAAACTGCAGGTGGGGGGTAACACAACAAAAGTGAGTTTAAGTGGTATTACTTGTGGTATTTGAAAGATTTAACAACAAAACAAAACATAAAATTGTAGAAGGCATACTGCAGAACAATTAAACATATATTTGCAAAAGATCCTAAAAAGTAAAATTAATAACAAAAAAGTAGAAAACAAAAAGCATAAAAGGGCCAACACAATTCCACAAAGGTCTTACCTCTTCACATTCAACACCTTGGAACACTACAATGCCTTCACAATCCCTACATTTCGTGGGGGATCTCAATTTGCGAAACTTGTGTGTGAGAGCTGCCTTTGACATCAATGTTTTCTTAAATGTTCCAAGGGAATTGGGTCCTTGCGAGAGAAATAGTTTATAAAAATTGTAAAATGATAGAAAAATTATACCATGTGATACCATATTTTGAATAATCTTTAAACCCTGTAATCGTTCATATATTATAAAAAGCTTTGAATCTGTAATATCAAAATAGCTGCTTAGCATCCAGTTTATAGGTCCAATTTATAGATCTCTTAAAAGGCACATTTATCAAGCATTTTAGCTATGAGTAAAAGTCATCACCAAGTCATTGCTATGAATAATAACATGGCATAATGTTTCCAGAATCAGCATATTTACACTATTATTAACATGTTCTTTCATAGAGCTGGGAAGGGTGTCATAGGAGGCATTAGAAAAAATCCCCATAAACAAAGAAAAATAGCTGTGTGAGGTTAGAGTGTGAGCATTATCTGCATTACAGATAAAGCTTTCTTAATTTACTATAAAATTACAGTTAATATCAGCTAGTTACATATTAATACTATACTGGAGGTCACATATTCCATTAATTTAGGAAATGATGCCAAACCAGGTATCTGTAGGCATTAAACGTACAAAACGAATTTATACGCCTCTAATTCAAGTTGTTAAGGTAACTGATTTAACTTTATCCTTCAAAATCCACAACTTCCTTATCCTCAAGAAGTACACTTACTTAGTTTTCTTGCTTGGTTTCTTGCATTGTTTCTTTTGAAGGAGCTTTTTAGAATTTTTTATGCACCCCAACCCTTTTAACACTAAGTCATAGTATTAGGTTTATGAAAACACATGATATCTAGCCTGTTATTTTAGCACCATGCCAATACATTTTACATCAGTAGTTTTGCTGCCTATTCTAATATTTGTATTTGTAACATTTAATTAATACATTATCAACTCGTACTTCTACATAATTGTTGGGATATATTTAAGTCATGGTGAATTTTTTTTGTTTACTACACAAGAAAGTATTGATTCTTTAAAATTATACTATTTTTCTAATATCATGCAGTGCTACTGATTCAGCTGGTTTAGTGGGACTTAATTCAGGTAAATACAATACCAGTTTCTGAAGGGGAAGATGGCTCTCTTTCATCTAGATCATCTGCAGAGGACATAGTTCCACTGGATGGTGTTCGTGGAAGTTTTCGATGAAAGTCTCCTAAAAGAAAATTGTGAATACAATTACCTGACCATTCATTGTAGGATCTTTGAAATAGGAAATGAAAACACTTTTGAATTAACAAAAGTCATACTATTTTATTAGCTTCAATGTAAAAATTTGCTTCTATTCTCATTCTCTGGGTAACAGGGAATTCTGATACTCATTCCTGGAAATGAAAAGATATTTAACCAAATCTGACTTTCCTGAACAAATTTAAAACTGAGGCTCATGTAGTCCAATAACACTTTACTGCCAACTTCCGATGGTAAGTATTAGATATGGTAAACTTCACAAGTATAGCTGATATTTTCCATTCATGTCTAATACCTAACATGTGACAGAGTGGCTGGCACAACAGAAAAGTTGTCGTTAAATGTTTGCTAAATTAAGTTATAAATGTATACGATTAAACCAAAAGCTTTCTAAAAGATACAAAAATCTTTGAATACAACAACCCAACAGTAACATCACATTTATGTTACTGGCAAGATGGCAGACTGGGAACCAGGAACAATAGCCCAGTGATACTGGCAGGGAGCTGAGACCACAGTATACAAGCTATGTCAGCAAAGGACACTGCATATGTATCAAAGCATGTTTGGAAGCAGCTCAACTGGGAATGAGGTTTATTTACTCCCTCTCCACAGGCCTACATCTAAGTGGAAGAATTCACCTTAATGCAAGGCCTTAACAGTTTCAAATTCAGAGTTAGAAAAGCCTTTACAAATGATTTTAAAGAACATCCTCTTCACCAAAGGATTCTTCTCCACAATATGCTTAAAGGTAGCTATCTAGTTTTCACTTTGAATGTGCCCCCAATGACTGATAAATCACAAAGTTGTATTGCTCCATTTTATAACTATTCTAAATGTAAAATGCATTTCTTACATTACTGAACAGAAAACTGCCTCCCTATAAATCCCAGGCTTGGTCATATTTTTCCCAAACGGAGAAAACAAGTACTCTAACTTTAATCCCTTTTCACTTCCAGTATTTGAAGACAGCTGACAGGTCTCCAATTTTCCTTTTTCCCAGGCAAGGCATTCCCCGGTTTTCACCCATTTATCAGGTGATGTGGTTTCTAAAATTTTGTCTTTACCACATGAAGTTTTATGGGATCCTAAATAATATGGGGCTTGCTCTAGATTGGGTGATAATTTCTGGAGCTACCTAGAACCAGTTTGTTGTTACAAAGCTAATTACAAATATTCAGTTCAATATTAGGCTCACATTTCCAGAATGTTCCTTGAACAGTGCTACTTTTAAAGAAGGCAGCAAAGTGGCAGGTGATAATCATCCTACAAACACAGTGCTGCGTGAAAATATTTTTCTAACTTTAAATATAAGAGATTTATCTAAATCAGTAAAACTTCTGCAATATGTAAGAGAAGAAAAAGGCCTTGGAATCTGAGATGGCTTAAATCCTATAATCTATCTATTAAGATCCTAGAAGAAAGAAACGTTGCCAGAAAGAATGGGCCTGGAGCAGTCTTTGGTAGAGGTGTAAAGGAAGAATGTTGGATGTAGAATCTCATGAGTTCAATTGCTACCTTCTTCTATTGCTAGCTGTATAACCTAGGCAAATCGCCCTCTTAGAAGCCACTAATGGAGAATTCAAAATGCTTACTCTGTTTCTCTCTGGGGACCATGAGATAATCTGTATCAAAGTATCTTAAAGCACATTTGTAAAAAATTAACAAGAATAAGTAGTTGCAGGCACAGAAATAGCAAAATGACATTATTATAGCAATTAAGTACCAAACAATCCAAAAGATGACAGTTATAGTCACAGAATATACAGCAGTGAAAATAAACATGACTACCTACATTCACATAGATCTTAAAAAAAATACATGAAGTCACAATAGTGTAATTCAATTTGTATAACATTCAGAAGAGAGCAAAACTTCACCAGATAGAAGTACTCGAAACATTTAAAATAGCTAGGGAATATTTTTAAAACATTTCAGGATAATGGTTTATTCTAGTGGGAGATACGGCAATGTTACCACGGAGGTGTGTACAGGGGCTTCTAATATACTGATAACCATCTATTTCTTAGGCTGGGTGGCGAATATATGAGGGGTTTTTAAAAACTATTTTTTAAATTGTACACTTTCCTCTCTATTATGTATGAAAGTTCACTATAAAAGCAAGGTAGTCAAAAAATACCCAAAAAAGGACTGATCTTTCAATGAGTTTCATTGCTAGACTTAAATACTGATGTACCTGGACTTATAGATTCTGAATCCAGAGATCTAGATTCGCTGCTCCCTCCAGTACTCTCAGAGTCACTAAACATCCCAAATGTCCACGATCTTATAAAGGAAGGACCTTTAATAAAAAGAACAAAGTCAAAACTTGGCTACAGGTGGATTTCATAAGGTAAAATACTGACATTCTATCAAGTGAGACAATTCAAATTTCTTTAACAATAACCAATTATCAACTTCAAGAAAGGAACCATGATAACAACTGTGAATAAGATCTCACAAATTTACAATCTAAGGCCTGATTTTTAAATTCCAGAGCAAAAATTAATTTAACAATCACATTCGAACAATCTGACCTTTTATAAATTAGCACTCTTTTTAGTGTGGAAAACTACCTGTTATATCTGCACTGTTAGAGCATCTGTCCTCTTCAATTTTATTAGAACTGTCAGGAAGGCGTACAACATCCTCTAAAGAGTTGGCAGGTCCAAATCCAGAAGTTTGGGAACTATTTAAATGTTTATTTACATTTCTGAAACAACAATGACAAAAAACAAAACTCAACACTCCAGAGAATAACTAATAATCAGTCTATTTCATTCTGTATTTAGAAAAATCTATTAATTTAACAATCACAGATGAATTAAACTAAATATTAAAAACAAATCGTACTACATGGTTCAGCTTCTTATAGGAGATGCAAATACTTTTTAATTATTTGTGCTTATTACAGTGGAAACATGGGAAGGAACAGCAGAAGTATAGTTAATAATTCATGGCATGGTTTAACTTTTCTAGCATGACCTCTGTGGAAAACATAGGTTAAATTCTGTGGACATTCAAAACATGTATGGCCATCATATGATGTTCCCAAATGATTTTTAATTCTTAAATAAAAGAAGTCTGTGTCAAAATGGAAAGGCTTACTGTTAGTGAATTATATCTGTTCCTTAAATATAACTACTTCGATAACATAAAATAATATTTAAAGAACTCAGAAAATTTTTAAGTTAATTTTGTCAGTTAGAAAAGACACTTCCTTGTACTAGACAGAAACTTTAACAATTAAGTGTTTTATATTTTGAAATAATTTTATCTGTACATTAATTCTCACCCATCAACTTTGTCTTCTTCAGTTGAATTTGTGGCCTTGACAAATTCACTGTACTCTTGGCCTGGGTCATAGAGTTTGGCACTATCACAGAGAGACTGTAAACTGTCTGCAAGGGAAGCAGCCTGCAGATGCTGCATGTTGAAGAGGTTAACTGTTACCTATGGACACAGAGACAAAAGGCAGAGTAACTCATGAGATACAGAATGTTATAAAACATACATTTATTTCAATGACTGCATCAATAAAAATGCCATACAGTGAAGCATACAACACTGAATATCACTCTGAGCATACTATGATGCCTGATTTTGCATAATGTCTAGATTAGGGAGAAAAGTAGTTTGAATCTAATATCTATGAGTAATCATTTCCAGCAAAACTGGCTTTTAGCTGAAAAATTCAAAAGTGACTTCAAAAACCACATGCCCCAACTGGTTCACAATTTTAGGAGATGGATGTGTTTCTGAGGATCCTCATCTCTGTATCCTGATGGTCTGATCACAACTGCCTAAACTCTTCAGAGAAAAACATGGGGAAAACACTTCCAATCAAAGAACTATTATTTAGACTGTTTTCACTTTTTCAATCCTATAAAAACAGAAGTGCTGAACTACAGTACTCCGTTCTTATAGTTAGATATTACCTTGAATCTATTCAAAATACATTATTCCATTGAGTTTCACAAATGCCTAAATATATTATCACTATCATCACTTCTACTAACAACAATAACAATAGCAGCAGCTGACAAGTATGTACAATATGCCTGACCCATTCTCAGAGTCTTACATGAATAAACTAATTTGATGTTCACAAAAGCCTAGGCTTTGGGTATATTACAGCAAACCGATGAGATACTGACTCTCATGGACCTTTACATTCTCCTGAGGGTGGTATGCGAGAGAAGTAACAAATTATGTAAATAAAATACTTTCTGGTACCGAAAAATGCTATGAATACTATATAAGAATGTCAAATTATGCAGTATGACCAGGTATGTGTTTGTGGAAGGGTATTTCCAACATGGTAAATTAAGGAAGGCCTCTCTGAGGAGGTAACATTTGAATTGCAGGCCGATGTAAGAAAAGCTTCATGGAGATCTATCCAAACAAAAGGAGGAGGTAGTGCAAATGTGAATGGGAAAGAGCTTGTCATGCTCAAGAAACAGATGAAAGGTCAATATGGTTGAAGTATATGGAAAGAGCTCTGGTTGAAGATAAAGCTAAAAAAAGTAGTCATCTAAACTATGGCAAGGTGTCTGAATGTAAGTGCAACAGGAAGCCGGTGGAGCATTTTACACAAAGCTATAACATGATCTGATTTATTCTTTAAAATGACACTCTGGCTTCTTTGTGGGGAAGGTATTTAAGGGAAACAATCTGAATAAATGCTAAATTTCAATTAGCTTAATGTTATTTCAAAGACTGCCACGTTTCTTCTTCATCTCTCTTGACATACCAGATGATAGGATAATTAGTCTTTAAGTCCTTTTCAATGTAGACAGGCATTTCCCTAAGGATACTTGACTCTGCATAAATAGTATTTGAAAAGTATAGATAACAGAATAAGTAGCTTATTTGTGCCCTAACTCCTTCAAGAAACAAAGAAAATTCAAACTGCATAAGGTGCAGTTTAATTCTAGCAACTGGCTATATTAGAGCATTCTCCAGCTAAAGGTAAACTGCTTACTCTCTTGATCCTAAAGGTAACCTGCATGCTAGGTGACCTTCATTAACTGCATTGAAAAAGTTAATGTGCAAATGAATCACCTTGGGGATCTTGTCCAAATGTAGATTATGATTCTAAGGATCTGTGTTGAAACCCAAGATTCTGCATTCCTCATAGGCTCTCAAAGTAATGGCAATATGACCAAGGACCGCATCTTGAGAAGGCTTTCTAAACTTTAGTTTTCTCATCAGTAAAATGGAGATAAAAACTTGATAGGATTTTTGTGAGAATTAAATGAATTAATGTAGACCAAGAGCTTAATACACTGGCAGGTACGTAGTCAATCTTAGCTATCATTAGCTATTGTTTGAGGTGGACGGAATTTATCAAAGGTAAAAGATTGGCCTAAATGACTTCTAAGGTAATTTCAAATCCTGGATTTTATAATTCTGTTAAATCCTTTCATGATTCTTTAACTAAATAATATATTAATTAATCAAAATTTGGAAAATAATGAGATACAATTTTAAAAACTCAAAAACATTTTAAGGAAGTTTTCTGGTTCAGATGCAGTAAGCTAACTCCCCCCAGTCTCCCACTGAATTCACCTAAAAATCTGAACAGAATGCACAAATCAAGACTCTGAAAAGTAAATGGAAAAAAACTACAATTCGAGGTATGACCAGTCCAGCAATAGGTCTACTCCTGCCCTGTTTTCCAGCCCATGCTCAGCTCCTACTCAATTCTCCAAGTCCCAAAGTACAAACTGAGTGTAGACAAAAGGAGCACCAAGAAAGGTTCTTTCTGGTTCAAGGAACAAAAGCGGGGAGGGGTGACGGGAGATGTAACTAAACAGTAGAAGAAAACTCCCTGGTTTCTTTTGTATATTTGTTTTCTCTTCTGCCTTAGACCCTAAGCAAGTCCAAATCCCTAAGACACAATCCTGTGGGAGCAGCAATGATGACAGTAGCAGCTGAAGAGATGCCAAAACTCTGATGGAAATCCTCCTTTATGACCAGGTGAACTGTGTCTAGAGAGGGGTCTGAAATTTCTGTTACTTTTCTCTCTTTATCCTCCCCACACTTGGCCGGGGATAACAGCAGAATAGGCAGACCTAAGTTTCCCAGCCAGAAGATTGGGAAGGGAGTCACACAGAAGCTGGAAAATGAACCTAACTGTATCAAATAGTTGCTAAAATTGAAAAAAAATTAATGTTCAATATAGGCTATAAACAGGACCCAGAGTCAATAAAGTAGTAGTGAAAATATCTAGGATATGATTCAAAATTGCTTGTCATACAAAGAACCAGGAAAATCTAAACAACTCTCAAGACGAAAGACAATAAAAAGACACCAAGACTGACATGGCTCAGATTTGGGATGATCAGATGAAAACTCCAGAACAACTATTACAAAGGTTTTAAAAAAGTAGAGCAAACAATCTTGAAACATGGAAAAACAGAAGCCTCAGCAAAGAAATGTAAGATGTAAAGAAACAAAAGGGAAATTTATTGCTGAAAAATAAAGTATCCAGAACAAAAAATTTACTGGACGAACTGTATGGGAGAATGGGGATAACAAAGGAAAAGAGCCTGTGAACTTGAAGACAGATCAACAGAACAGTATAAACAACCAAGAGGAAAAAGCTTTGGGGAAAAAATAAAGGACTTCCAGAACTGCGGAAGATTAACAAAAGCTCTAATGTTTGAGTCACTGGGTGTCAGAGAACGAGGAAAAAGAATACTACCAAAAAAAAAAAAAAAAAAAAAACCAGATTGAAGAAACAATAGTTGAAAACTTCTCAAATTTTTCAAGAGTCAAACTTGTAGATTCAAGAAGTTCAATCAATCCAAAAAAGGAAAAAACAGCAAAAACCAGGTCTAGATACGTCTTAAACAGATAAAAACCAAAGACAAAAAAAAAAAATAATAATAATCCCACAAAAACAGCCAAAGAAAAACCCATGCCACAATTGGGGAAATGATAATTAAAATGATTACTGGTATCTCATGAGAAACTATGGATGCCATAAGGCAGTGGAACAATATTTTTAAAGCAGTGAAAGAACTGGTTTCTGTATTTAGAATTCTATATCCAGTGAAAATGTCCTTCAGAAATGAAGATGAAATAAAGACATTCTCATATGAAACACAACCAAGTGAATCCATTACCAGCAGACCTGCTATAAAATAAGTGGTAAAGGAAGTTCTTTAGACAAAATGTTACCAGAGGAAAGATGGAACCACTAGAATGCAAGAAGAATGAATAGAAATAGTAAATAATAGACTACTTTTTCCTTCTTAACCTCTTTATAATATGTATGACTTTTAAAAGCAAAAATTGTGAGAGTCTGGTGAGGTTTTCAATGTATATGGATGTAATTTACATATATCAAATACAACCCAGATTAGGTAAAGGAACTTCTAGGTGGTGATGCTTCTGCATTCCACTTGAAGTGGTAAAAAACTAATTCTAAGTAGACTTAAAAAAAGTGTATGTATAAACACAGATAAGTGTGCAACCATTTTTTTTAAATTGGCTATTTATAGAATAATCTATTTTAGGCTGAACTGTCCTAGCACATGTTTTAAATGGATCTAGCATTTTCATATAACTCTGGAAACCACATTAAATATTCAGCTTCTTCAACAGTGTTTCACAGTTCACTACTACTTTTTCAGGTAACTAGTAATCTTAGAACTTCTATTTCTGTTCCATGAAAGAGATAATTTTTGTTTTTTACCAGAATGCTTATTTTGTATCTTAATGACACAATATCCATTTTCATATATGACAGAGTTCATATATGTACTACTACATCTGTACATTCTTAGTCACGTCAGGCTGCTACAACAAAAGTACCATAGACCGAGTGACTTAAACAACAAAGATTTATTTCTCACAGTTGTGGAGATTGAGAGATCAAGACCAAGGCACTATCAGATTCATGGTCTGGTGTGGGCCCCACTCCCTGGTGCATAGACTGCTCTTTTCTCTCTGTGTCCTCACATGATAGAAGGGAAAGGGTCATGAGGGCTCCACCTAGTCACCTCCCAAAGGCCCCACCCTCCAAATATCATCACATTATCACACTGGGGATTAGGATCTCAACATGCTAATTTTGCAGGGGGTGATAAACAGTCCATAGCAACTCAGTTCAAGTAAGTTGCACTGATTGTGGGATTCTAATGAGAATTTACAATGTTAAATGATCTCAAAAACTATTATGTTTTGATACATGCTGCTTCACTGGTTGACTCCATATGACATAAACAATCAAACACAGTTTTTCATTGGTCAACCGATGTAGTTTTACATTTAGCTCCACTGAGAGTAACTGTAGACAAAAGTAAAAGTAATAATGGAAGTCTACGTGCAACCATTGTGGTTATTAAGGCAATGCAAGTTTCTAAATGATAATTAGAGGGAGATTTTTTCAGGTTATATAAATAGATAAAAATTGAATTTCCTAACTGGAAGCTGGCCAGGAA